CCCCAAAACCCCAAAACCCCAAAACCCCAGCGTCTTGCTGAGAGGTTGACGCATAACCTTGTTTTAAAACCATCCAATTATTCTTTCAAAGCAGAATTGACTTCATCAACAGCCGTGATGTGGGAGAGTCCAAGGGTGGCTAACAACTCAGTTACCTTTGAGACTGAGATCTTGCATCTGTTAACATTGATCTTGTGGAGAGAGTCTTTGAGAGGAGAGTTCTTGATGGCTACGAGGATGTGCTCGAACCTGGATGGGTGCTTATCCCATTCCATGTTGCACCAGGTGGAGTTTCCGCAATAATAGAAGCTTAAGTACTGGAGGTTTGAGTGAGTGAGGGAAGAGAAATCGAGAGATGCAGAAGTGGTGATTTTACAGAGATCGAGAACCAGCCTCTCTGCAGTTGAAGCCAGTTTAACTACCTTGTTCAAATCAGCTTCATCAATTATCAAATTCTCCATGTAAATTTCTTTGGTTACCTTTGGAAAAACTTTGCTTAAACTGTCCAGGTAGAACTTTATTTTTATTGCATCACTTCTCCCTTTCCGATATAGGTGTCATTAAAAGCAAACAATTTGAGAGAAGAAGGACAACAGTTGGCGATAAAGTTATTAAGGGAAGCATCTTCGTTGGATACTTTGTCAATCGTCAGTCTGTTCATGTCTCCAAGAGAGGACTTCAGGTCTCCCATTGTTTGCACGAGTTTCTTTGATTGGTCCTTTGTCATGTCCAGAGTGAGGTCTTTAGAATCCGGGTCATAATCTGGGCAAATACCTTTAAGTTGATTCTTGATAATATCTTTTACTTCTTCAAGCTGGCCAACAGCATTTTTGTACTCTAAGAAAATAATCCAAGCTAGCTTACCTTCACTGAGCTGATCAATTTGCTTCTGGTCTTCACTGTGTTGCTTCTCTGCTTTATTGATTTCCTTCAGCTTCGCATCCAAGTCTTCTGCAAGTCTAGCATTGGCAGTCTCCAGTGCATTCTTTTGTTCTTCCAAAGTGGCATTTTGTGCAAGTGCGTCATTCTTTTCTTTCTGGATATTTTCTGTATCCTGGAGTGCTCTCTCAGTAGCCACTTTCTGCGAGTCTAGCTCACCCTGAATCGTGTCTTTCTCAGTCTTGAGAGATGATACTTGGTCTTTAAACTCTTCTGTGAGCCTGGCCTTGCACTGTTGCTCAAATTGCCTTGATTTGGAACGGAACTTCTTCTCCATCAGCTCCACATTTTCTTTGACCACAGCGTCAATCTTCTCTTTGACCTTAGTGGCAGAAGATAAGTCTAAGCTTGACAAGGAAGAGCTTACCTTTACCAATCTTAGGTAGGCTGTACATGCTGACGTCTCTGAAAGTTGATAAGTACAAAATATCTTTGACAACTTCGTTCTCATCCATCTGAGTTTGCACCCTAAAGAGGTCAGCAAGTTTAAGCTAAACCACCCAGATATATGAGGGTGACAATTTAGAAAGGAGAGGAGGAGCTTACTGTTTGATTTCAGATTGAAGAATTTCAAATTGTTCGAAATGATCGTGAGTAATTGCATCTTTTATTTTGTTCTCAGTCTCAACGAGGCTGTCCCTAAAATCTTTGAGTTTGCCGTCAATGTCAGGGCTGTATTTTCTTAGACCGTTCTCAGCTATGAGCTCGAACAATCTCTTCACAAATCTCTTGACTTCGATCACATCGATCTTGAGATCAGTCAGATCGTGGATGATATCCAGCTGGCATTTGAAGTGCATCTTGTTTGCACAGCTTTTACAAGTTTGCATCTGGTGGCTTTTACAGAAGTACACTCTGTGTTTCTTGCATGCAGAGTCACTACATTGCATCCTATTACAAATTAAGATGATGTTGAACCAAAGATTTACATCCAATGTGCTCAGACATACCTTAGAGGAGTAGCATTAAAAGAATCCATATTAGGAAATAAAATCCAATAATTAAGAAATTAAAGTTCAACCTTCACTTATACCTATGGGGTTTTGGGGTTTTGGGGTTTTGGGGTTGGGG